GTTTTTGAGACGCGAGTTTCGCTCTTGTTGCCCAGGCTGGTACTGCAATGTGCGATCTTGGCTCACTGGCAACCTCCCGCCTCCGCGGTTCAAAGTGATTCTCCTTGCCTCAGCCCCGAGCTATCTGGCGATTACAGGCACGTGCACCATGTCAGCTAAGTTTTTGGTATTTTGAGAGAGATGGGTTTCTATTCATGTTGGCCAGGCTGGGTCTCGAACTCCTGACCTCAGGTTGATCCACCGCACCTCAGGCCTCCAAAGGTGCGGGATTACAGGGCATGAGCCCCCGCCAGCTGACTGTTAATTCATTCAGCTATGCACGCCGAACCTCACCACAGTTTTTTAAGAAAGGAAATAAAATAATAATGTACTAATTGAAATAATTAAATATCATATTTCCTTCCTCTTATGTCATGTGAAAACATCAAACCGATTTTCTCCCAAAATTTTCAAATGCTTATAAAGCGCGTCAATGAATAATACTCACCTGGTAACAAACTGAATTCCTCTATGAATGCAAAGAATCAATGATAAAATTATGAAGAGAAATATCATCCATTCACAAAAGTAGAACGCAAATAAAAAATCCCAACTTCTGTAAGTGGTTTCCCCGTTAAAGAGGACAGGTGATTGTGAGGTCCTAATTTTCTGTTTCTTCACTTACCCCCGCACCTGCGTACGGCACGGGGGCTGGTCTGGGTCCTGCTTCGGGCCCTGATAATTCTCCCCACTTTTCCTGGCAAGCTCACGTAGGTGCATCTTACTTCCCCAGCCCAGCAGCTGTTCTCATCTCCCAGCCTTTGTCTCCCTGGACAGGAGTGGGGAAGGAGTGCTGGATTCCGAGCTCCCTCCCCCCCACTGCACCGCCTCATTTTTCTTCCTGTCCGGGTCTTGGTCGGCTGAGATGGTACCACTGCACTCCAGCCTGGTTAACAGAGTAAGACCCTGTCTCTTTCTCTCTCTCTCTCTCTCTCTCTCTCTCTCTCTCTCACACACACACACACACACACACACACACACACGCACACACAGAGAAAATAAACGAGAAAAATAAATTGTTCTTAAACATAAAATTTAAAGTAGGGTTCTTTGTATCACCACTTTCTTTTTTTTTTTGAGACGGAGTTTCGCTCTTGTTGCCCAGGCTGGACTGCAATGGTGCGATCTTGGCTCACTGCAACCTCCTCCTCCCGGGTTCAAGTGATTCTCCTGCCTCAGCCCCCCCCGAGTATCTGGGATTACAGGCACGTGCTACCATGTCCAGCTAATTTTTGTATTTTTAGTAGAGATGGGGTTTCATCATGTTGGCCAGGCTGGTCTTGAACTCCTGACCTCAGGTGGTCCACCCGCCTCAGCCTCCCAAAGGTCTGGGATTACAGACATGAGCCACTGCGCCCAGCTGACTGTTAAATTTCATTCAGCTATGCACCCAACCTCACCACATCTTTATAAGAAGAAGAAATAAAATAATAATTACTAATTAAATAATTAAATATTATTTCCTTCTCCTTATATGTTTGAAAACATCAAAGATTTTCTCCAAAATTATCAAAGCTATAAAAGGGTCAATATAATATCACCTGGTAACAAATGAATTCCTCTATGATGCAAAGAATCAATGTAAAATTATGAAGAAATATCATCCATTTGCAAAAGTAACTACAAATAAAAAATCCCAACTTCCGTAATGTATTTCCTCGTTAAGAGGAAGGTGATTGTGACGTCCTAATTTTCGTTTTCTTCACTGACCCCCACGCTCCGCAGTAGGCAGGGGCTGTCTGGGTCCTGCTGGTGCCTGATAATTCTCCCACTTCTTCCCAGCAGCTCTAGCATCTACCCCAGCCACAGAGGCATCCCTTCTGATGTATTCTGGTTGGTTGAGCCCCATCAGCCTGTTTCATCTCCAGCCTTTCTCCCTGGACAGGGGTGGGGAAAGGAGTGCTGGATTCGGAGCTCCTCCCTCCCTGCACCGCCTCATTTTCTCCTCCGGGTCTGGCGCACAGTAGCCATTGCCGATGCACCCTGAAGACTGAAGGAGCCAGGGCAGAGCCAGGATCCTGCGAGCCACAGCCCTGGCTGCCCTGCTGAGCCTCCCGGAACCTAGGTCATCAGGGGTGAGTGCTCAGGTGGGCGAGGGAGAGTGGGGGCTCTGGGCGCTTCTGGAGTCCACAGATGCTGTTTTCTTTCCTGTTTCTTTTCTCTCTTCTTTACTGTTTTGC